ACTGATGCAAGATGAACATGGTTAATGTGTACCATTACACCAAGGTGTCTTGTTTGTGGAAGCAGTGAAGGCCATGACCCGACCACGCTGAACTAGCAGAGAGCATCTGATCTGAACCTGGTCGCAGGTGATCGGGGTTCTGTCTCTCTACAACACATACAGGGAAGATGAAAGAAGAAATCTGTGTGTTCTGAGCAACAGCTTTCCTAAACCTTCCAGAAAGTGCTTGTTAGCAGCAACCAAACCTCCTCCTACAAAAACACAGGCTATTTAGCTTTACTTTTTAACTGTGGAAATCTTTAAATAGGTGAAAATATAGCATTTGTCAGTTTGATTAGTTTATTACAGCCTGGCTGGATCTTTGGCAATTGTGCTTAAAAAACTGTTACACCCATTTCTATTGACTGAATGTAAAAATAAATACCATTTGTGTGCTTTTTGATCATTATGGGTTCAGGTCCTTTGAATAGGTACGAGATACTCCTTAAATCCTTCACCATAAGAAATATTTGAGTGGTTTAGAAAATGTATACCTTAGTGTTTTACTTATCATCATGTGTCCTTGTTTCACAGGGAAATTTATAGACAGTGCAAATCAGGGTTTGAGAAATATTACACTCCTTCCAGTCAGATAACACTCATAGTAATTATTAAATAGCACAGTATTACAGCAGCCCACCTGTATGTTCACTTGGATTTGCATAGAACCTGTTGCATCATTCATAGAGTGCACCACTTCCATCTATTATATAGGATTTTCACACTTTTTTCATACTTGTTTTTGTTACTACAGTCAACAGTCAACTGGCTAGTATGTTCTAATTAACATCTATTCTAACTACCAAAGTGCACCAAGCAAAAGTGAACACAGAAAATACACAGTCACTTTCATTACGTCATTATCTACAGTCAAATACAAATATTGTTGCATTCATTCAACATTAAAAAAAGAGTTTTCCTTTCAAGGCTTAACCCTGTAGATGCATTAAATGGCCATGCAAATACAGTACACACATTCTGATGCAAGCAGGCAATGAGACACTGAGATAGAAAGCTGACAGTGAAGAGAGTATATAAGGGCTTCTGCTTATTCCAGCTGTGCTATGACACATGTATTGTGTTATTCTGGATCATACAGACTATGTCATTTTGTCAGGCTTTTCAGACAACGTAAGAACAAAAGGAAAAAGAATGCCTTTCGCTTCCAGAGGTGCCCGCAGCGTCTCCTCGACAAAGTAGGCGTTCTCCTCCTCCACTACAAACTGAAGAGTCTGGGTTTTGTTCACACAGTAGATGCAGTTCCCGATGACGGCACACCTGAAGGGTAAATGACTCCCGAGCCTCTGTGACATGCAGTCGTGCCACATTTTCACTATGGTGCTGTACTTGAACACATTGATGCCTTGCTCACGGTTGATGTCAAAGCGGTAGATGAAGCTTTTGAAGGCCACCATGTCGGTGGACTTCTTCCTGCTGTTGTTGTAGGGGCACTCCTGCCACTCGTCCCTCTTAGGGTCGTACTTAAGGAGGCGGTAGAAGAGAGAGCCTCCAGAAACATAAAGTTCTCCGCTGCAGGTGGTGGCTTCGTGAGCCACTGCGAAGGCTCCCTTGGGCAAAGGGGCCACTGTGGTCCAGCGGTCCATCCGAGGGTCATATTTTTCCACTGTAAACAAACATTCTCCTCCAATGGCATACAAGTAGCCATCCATAGACACAAGCTTCAGCTGGGCACGGGCCTGGTTCAGAGGTCTGACTTCAGTCCAGCAGTTGGTTATGGGGTTGTAACAGAAGACCTTGTCTGAAACCTTGCCTTTGTCCCCGTAGCCCATTATCCCCCCTGCCACAAACAGATAGTTATACATGGTGCAGATCCCGCACCCTTTGGTGTTTATGTCTTCAGGCATGGCGGTCAAAGATCTCCAGTCATTTAGTGTTTCACTAAAGTAGTAAATCATATGGCTGTCTTCCAAAGACCCCACTGACAAGGGGCTCTGCGGCCGGCTGCCACAGCGACTCGGTGGCAGGCTCCCGACACGATCAAACACATCATTTATCTCTGCAACCATCAGAGTCTTCTTCCCCTCCATTCTCTTCTTCAAGATCAGTTCCCGTTCAGATCCAGTCAGACGCCCGTACACGGCGGGGTCTTTCAGGATCTGGAGGAAATTGTCACTCAAGAATCTGTAGGCTGTTTCCTTCAGTTCACTCAGACGCTGCTTTTTTGCGATGCTCAGAATCTCATAGCAGTTTTCTGCAGTGATTTGATCAGACATGGAGTCCATGGCCGCCTGGACAGCACACGGGATTTGAAGGATTTTAGCCCCGGTGATAACATCTACAACACTGTCTTTGCTAACATTCATCTGAGAAGTGTAAACATAGTCAATCAATGTAGACAAAGTCTTATAACTCACGCCCTTCACTTTCAGAATGTCTCGTGACAGCCGAGCTTTGAAGTAGTCGCTTTTCTCTGCCAGGACAGACTTGTGAGCGTTGATTGTCTGCCCTCCAACTTCAATGACTAAATCAGGCTCTTTCTTATTTTCAGCTTCTTGGACTGACCAATCAGTTTCCTGTGTCTCTTGGCTTCCACCGTAAGACACTTTAGCTCTGGCACCTTTGTGGCATTCACTACTTGCACAGTTTTGCTGCATGCCGGCAACGTGATTAGACACAGTGAATCTAAGATCCAGAGATCCCTTCTTGTTGGAAAGGTGAAACTGATCAGCTTTTGGGATGTATGACCTGTCACCTTTCTGATGGTCAATATGATTATTCTCCATCAGTCTTCCATCCACCATGTATTCCTTAGCAAACACCAGAGGAGGGCTGAAATCCTGGTCTTCCTGCAGTAATCCCTGGACATAGCCTGGACATAAATTCCCATTTTTGTCGGCAGGGTTCACAGCATGGAGGATGACGTCAGCGTCCACAGTGAATGTCCCTGATCCTACGTTGGGGCCCTCATTCATCCTGATGTCCTCTGATTGAGGGAGACGGAGTCTTCACTAATCATTCTGGAGTGAATGGGCAAACTTGTGATTGAACTCCTCTGTTTACCTAAATGAGGAGGAAACAAAATGGGAAGAGAGGAGTAAAGGCGAGTCTTTAAGATGCAAAGATTTATTTATTGTCCAAACGGCGCACTTTACCCAATAAAAACACCATGAAAACCATAAAATGTTAAGGAAAAATACTTTGTCGCCACCGCAGCATTTTGTAATACACTCATAACTACACTCGTGTAATAATTTCAGTTCAAACAACTGCAGCCTGTAAGAAATAAAAGCAACACCAACATGCAGCTTCCCGCAGCTGTAAACTGCGTGACCTCTTGCAATAATCTCCGGTTTTGCTCATTATTCCATCTAGAGACAGATAGGACGCATGCGCAACAGCTACTGCGCCCACAAAAGTATTAATCTGTAATATGACGGGGGAAGCGTGTTTGTACTTATATCAAAAGCTCTTGCACAACGCAATCCCCGATGATGTCGGAGAGAAAACAGTCAAATCAGTCGAACCATACAGGAACATGGCATATTTCACTAGAATGATAACTGAATTAGAAAACACAGATGGCGTTTTCTGCCCATTAACGGTGTAATACGAGCTACCCGTGTTTCCTGGCTGTGATTTAACAGCTCGGCACCGGCAGTGTCCCCGCCAGTCCCTCCACAAAGCTCGGTTACGTAAGTCGCAAACCTTGATGAAGCACAACTAGGCTTGGTTTCCCTGGACGAGTCCAGCTCCAGCGGCTTTATCCGATACGTTCACCTTTTATCCACCGAACCTCTGAAACGTTGTTTCATCCGCTCCCGTGATGAGACCTCCCCGGATTCCGTGGTGAAAGTGGAGCCAGGGGGGCGATCAAATAGTCTTTTCAGATCGCACCTCCTTCAGCCGTCACAAAGGAGTTTCCTCCGGTGGACGCCGGGGAGAGACTTCACTGTCTCTTTCTCCGGTAAACCGGAGCTGTCCAGCGTGGGCAGCAAAGGTACTACCTCACGGAGCTGGTAGGACACCGAATTTTGTTGTCTTTTTTATACAGTTCACTACAGTGAGGCGGTTATTATTGATCTAAACCACGCCCCCTCCAGTCAGTATTAACCCTACACTTAACAGCACGAGGCTCCATCTGTTGTGCGCGCGCTGGACGTATCCAAAAGATGCGACATTACTTTATACATCATACCTGTCCTTGGTACCACGATAGGGTCGGAGGTCAGGGTGTATTTAATATGTGGGACATCCCCCTCACTACCCTGTAAACACACACAACAAACCCAATCTAAGGCAGAGTAGTGTGAATGGGTTAATGTGGATCATCTCCTGTAAAGCGTTTTGGCCAGTGCAACACACTGTGGACAAATAAATATATAGAAATACAGTCCATTTACCATATGGTTTAGGACGTAGAGCGGGTCATTCCCGGTTTGTGAGTGTGAACGTGCTTTGAGTGTGCCGAAAAGCGCTATACAAGTATATGTAAAATATATTGGAATATTACATTAATATCAGTATACACTGCAATATAAGTGCAATATAATTACATACCAGACACACACTATTTTCCCATAGAGACTTTATATAGCAATACTATTTAAAAAAAATCAATAAACATTCCATTAGTACTCCACCTACAGTATTTGTGCATGAGACAGTATACTACACATCCATAAAACTGACATAACCACCCCCTCAAACAAACGTGAATGTATACTTAAGGCAGGGTTAAGCCAAAAACAGCTCAAAAATGCTCTGGAAATGAGTCACACTTTTCTTCTCTACAAAATTATGCTTATCCGAGTTAAATAGGAGATTCAATGCTGCATATTTGTGTAGTAAAATCCATAATAATACACCTTGCATGTGGAAATGTCTGCGCTTGTGTGTTACTCCAGTGATACAAAAGAATTAGAGGCACATGCATTAACCATATGAAAAGGCACGACCTCACAGGAAAGCATCAACAGTAGCAGGCGTTAGTCCATAATGCCCCGCATTGTACAACTCTCAGCCCCATGAGATTACAGGGCATTCATTTCAGAGTTTTTAAATAATATTCTGAGAACAGAGTCATTGAGGGCCCATAATACACACATAAAATGAGGTGGAAACCTCAAGGTTCACAAGGAAAACAAAGGACTTCCAGTTGCAGATATGCAAGCAATGGCAACACCCAGCCAGACACACAGATAATTAGGTCATGTGGTTCATACTGTGAGACTGAGGTGTTTCCTTGTTCTACTTCTAGTTAAGAAATACAAGCCAATATTCACTTACAGGAGTCAAATATTATCTTAGGTTCAAATCAGTATATTAGACACCACCAAGAAAGCAGATAATATTTAGGATCATCCTAGGGTGCCATGGGTTGCAGCATGGGAACAACTCCAACCCAAAATCCTCTATTTTTGTTAAATCTGACAATATAGTGAACTGCGATTGTGCAACAGTGCACGTGGGCGTCAAGTAATAGAAAATGTCTTGACCCTCTCTGTTCAGCAGTAAAGAGAAATGAGCAGCAAAATCCCGGAAGAGCTGCATCAGTTTCGGTTCCTGTGGGCCCTCAGGCACATTGCTCATCCCTGCATGCACCGATGGCTGCACATAGTCAGAGTGAGGAAGAAATACAAGGTTCAAGGCTGCCGATTGTCTTGCCTATTGTATGACAATCTATTAGTGTTACCAAAATATCAGCTCCTCTCTATTATGCTCTTTGGCCGGAAACTTGGCAAAACTGCAGAAAAGCTTCCACAAAGTTGACATCTGTTTCCCTTACAGAGTCATCAGATTCACATTCTGATTAAAATGCTCACAAAAGCTCACAGAACTACAAACAACAACTTGACATGAAATACACAAGTTTGCTCAATAAAACAAGGTTTATGGATTTATTAATATACATGATAGAAGTACATACAAATTGTGACAAAGTATAAAGCTTTTTATCTTTTTTAAATATATGAGAAACAATTGCATTAAGGAAAACAGTCTCTCTTGGTGATACCAACTCTTTTATCCCTTTATGAATAGAAACCTGGCCAGCCAGGCATTCTCATCAAGCCTTGACAAACTAAATCAGTCACTGATATTCCACCTTTTATCCCCCACCCCCTTCTTCTCTGTTAACAGAAGAGTTGGAGCGCCACACAAGCTGCTCCAAAGGTAAATTTGATTCCAAGTCAACACGTTCTGTGATATTAGAACTCCTACACATTCATTTCTGAGTTGTCACACTTCATATTTACAAATCTGGCCTTGACATATGATGTAAAGTCAGGCCAAAACCTAATCCTACTCTTACAAAAAAAACTTTTACGTAACAGTTTCAAAGCTCCATTGTTACCTTACTGAACAAAGTCATCTCTTTTCAACACTGATTTAAATACTGCAGTCCTATAGTCACCTGCTTGGCACAGACACCGGAGAGCAATGAAATGTATTAGCCATGTTACAGAACAACTTCATGGGAAGGTGAAATGAAAGACAGTTCAGTTTTTTCAAACAAGTACATCCCTAACAAGTACAGTATATAAAGTACATTGACATGTCTGCAGGGTGTTGTTTGCACCATTGAGCATCATGACTAAGTGTTTTATTCATCCTTGGTTTTTTATGATATGAAACATTATCAGGAACAATGTGGACATTTTGTGGAATGCATGATACAGTTCTGGTTTAAATAAGATGTTTAGTTGTTCCTCTCTGCCTTTTTAAGCTGAAAAGAGAGAGAATACTCTTAAAGTCAGTATACATAAATGGAATTACATTTTCTACTTGCAAACTGATAATGTTATTTCCAACATACCAATGTGGTGTTTGTGTCACATTTTGAATAAAGGGATCTGCCAGATCATGATAGTGGAGGTGTTGTCCTCATGTCGGGATTGTTTGGTCTTTTTGTTCACTCTGCGGTGGCCCAAACCTCCAGACACCACCAGGAGGGAGCTGACATCCACCTTGCTTGAGCGGGGGCCCTTCTGTTGGTGGGCTGGGTCATGAAGCATGTCATAAAGGGCCCTATCCTCAGGCCCGTGCTCCAAGGAGCCCTGGGATGGAGCTAGGGAGCTGCAGGATGAGGAGGACAGAGTGTCTTGGAGAGCCATGGTGGTGCAGCCCACCTTTCCCAAACACACACCCGGCCCCTGAGGGGGAGTCCAGACTGAATCTGAGGGAGGCTTGGTGTTCTCCGGATCCTCTGTCTCTACTGGATGGATTGAGGTGGGAGGGGTGGTCGATGGCAGGCCAGAGGGCTGGTTGCACACAGCAGCAGCCATGGTAAGGAATTTAACTGGTCCGTTGTGAGCGTGCAAAGACACCATACCTCGACCTGACAATAGGTACAGCCATGTAAGTATTTGTCCTAGTTGTTTCACACACTTGCATGTTTGTTTGTGGATGAGTATCAGCAGTATACACAGCTGAGAACTGAAATGAATAACCTCCATCTTAAACCAAGTGTCTGATTTGCCCTTAAACTGTTTTTTTAAACAACCCTACAGTATAATTTGCCTTTGCTAAGAATAATGTTAGAACATCTCTCTGGCAAAGCAATCCTTATTATTTTCTGTAATGAAAATAAATAAATAACAGTCATCATAACAGCATAGGAGCACTAAATACAAAATGCAGTATGGGGCTCCTCTTGAGGACAGATCATCTCTTGATTGATCTAACTGTTGATCAACAGAAAAAGTGTCATTTGTCCGTTTCTAAAATGTGAGGACTTGCTGGTTTCTTCCTCTGTCTGAGTATTGTAGTTGAGTTTGTATGTAAGTATTTGTTCAGGTGGAGACATTCTATCATTCTGTGGGAAATTGTAATTATTTTACTGAATTGAATTGTTAAATGGTGATACAGTGGCGCGTCAGTGTTACCTGTGACCTTAGGGATCCCCTGCAGTCTGGGGACAGAGAGCGCCACAGTCACCCCCAGGTTGGTTCCTACCAGAAGCAGACCGTGACAGACCAGGAGACTGCTCACTGACACTCTCTGGTTCCCTAGAAAAAAACCAAAACATAACATGGGTTAAATCTTAGCTAAATCAAATCACTTTCTAAAATAAATCCACTGACATTTGGTTAAAATATAGAGAGGTAATATATGTAGTGAATGTTTCTTGGAAAAGATATTCTGCAACCCTGAAAAATTTACAGTGCCAGGCATGAACAGTTGGACCTCACACAGATGCATGCTGTTCATGTCTCCTGGAAAACCAGAAAAGTGCATCGTTAACGGGCCACTTCACCAAGCTTGAATGCAGTGTGGTGCGTGGGAGGGTGGTGTATCTTTTTAGTAAGAAGGGGCATTTTTGCAGCAGCAATGTTCACAGCTTATAGGTCTCCAGGGCAACATAAAGAGGAGTCTGGATAAAAACATTTAAAGTGTCTGAATGGTGAAAAGGCACCATTACGGCCTGCTTCGAGTTAAAAAAAAACTAACACAAAAGGATTATATAACAGAATGAGTGAAGCATAATGCTGTAATTAAGCAAGGAGTTCTGCCTCTATTCAGCAAACCTGTGGTAGCTACAGAAGGACAATCTAAACTGACCTTTTCTTTCTCTTCTGGACAGAAAAATAAGTTTGGACTGTAAAAGCCACAATTGCTAAGCTAAAAGCACCTTTCACTGAGGATGGCAATAAAGTCAGGCTTGCTAACTGTTATGTGTTAGGTGACTTATGTGAAATCAAACCATCCCCACACAGGAGCTTCGTCAGGTATATGCTATGCAACAAATGGTATCTAGTCAGACATTTTATCATCATTTTTAATGGTTGTAATAAGAATCTGGGACTTTGAAAAAACAGGCTTTTCAGACCTGCTATGTGGGAGGCGAGACTGTCATGAGTCATTTCTGCTGTAGCAGTCTGACTTGAATTTCCTCCCTTAAAGTAATCCTCTTGGGCTTTAGGAAAAATGACTGCCAGTTTCTCTGCCTGACCTCCTCACTAGACATGACTCTTTCCATGAGGAACACACACACATTATGCCGCCACACTTCCAGGAATCCCGCCAGATTGGCAGGCAGGTACAGTGGAAGACAGGGCCCTACGTCTTGCTCACATGTGCTTCTAATGACAGCCTAGAGTTAGCAGAAACACAGAGTGCTGTCTGGGGGGGGCTTGCTCAACTTCTTCCTTTCATAATATTTAGAGAACTCCACCCAGAGGGTGAACTAAAATAAAAGCAGAGTGAATGTCAACATAGCCTGGATGTGGCCCTGATTCTTCACCAGAGCACCACTTTGATCTGCACTTAGTTCTGACAATCAGCAGCAGGAGGGAGTAGCAAATCCCAAACATTAGGATAATACATTGTATCAGCCATTCAATCTGTCTACAATCACTATCAATCAATACGATCACTCAGATCAGCACACAACACAAGTAATTGTTTTCAGTCTCTCTGTACAGCTAATGAAATTGTTCAAGATCATAAAGTCTTTTCTCTTAAGACTTCAATTTAATTCACGCACTGATCCAAAAAAAAAAAAGTCAATTATATCATTCAGTGAAAAAGGGTTTAAGGTGCTGTACCTCGATGAACTATAAGACTCCAAGTTGACCATTTTACCTTAGCGTGTTATCATGCTAATGTCTGCAGATTTGATGTTCACAAGGTTACTTTTCATTCTGATCGGGAAAATGAATGTCTTTACAAAATGTCATAGAAATCTATGTGATAGTTCTCTCCAGAGCACAATGACAGATTGAGTGAACAAACATAGCATGAATAGAGCACTGCTGCTCTAGCATGGTTGAAAAACAAGCCAAAGGTGAGCCACACCACACCTGTCATGATATCATAGTATACATCACTGCTTATCTGAAATCATCTCAATATTACCTTGTCAGTCTCTCAATAACTGCAAGAAGAAGTATAACTTCAGACAAGTTCCAGATAGACCTTATTCACAGTACCGCTACAGTACTTGTGTCTCTGGGGGATTGGATGTTCATTCAGGAATAAATGTGTTATCCATGTTGGGTGGTGTGCAACAATGGCGATGTACAAACAAAGAAAAGCTGGTGGTGTTATTGACTGACTCCTCGATATTTGTTTCCCATTAGACTATGCATGGTTGCCTATTTAGGTCAAAGAGCAGCAGACGAAGGCTAACTACACCCTCAGCGCAGCAGCCAACCAGGCACAATCCTCTGAGACATCATCACAGAACAGTCTGCTGTAATGGAGGCCCACTGCCGTTTGAAGTGCTTCTAAAGATCTCTCCAAGATATTCTCTCTTTTATTAAAATGTAACTTTATTTACACTTTACACAATGTTTTGCTTCCCTTTTTCTTCATTATTTTATGAATATCTTACAGCTTTTGCCCTTGTATGTAGAGTCTTTGTGTTACATTTCTTTAGAAAAGAGATTCAGTGGGACTAACATAGTCAGAGATTCAATAAAATGAATCCATAGTCCCGTAAGAAGGCTGCTATTTCTAAAGATGGCCAATTCTGAGACTTGAAAGGAAATATAGCGAAAAGCTAGTTTGTTTTAATGGCACAGTGTGGGAACTATCATCCAGTCAGCCACAGTTACTTTATTATAAGACATGAACTGCAAAGGATTCTTTAGTAAACACTAACCATGAGTTATAGCGATAATAATAGTTATTATAGCATATTAACCTTCAGTGTGTTTGGTGCTGGGAAAAGGAACTCCGGTCTGCAAGGAAGGGAGTTAACTGAACTGCCCCAACATGTTTGAGCATGATAAGTTTAACCCCACCTTGAGCACCACCTGCACATAACACTGGGCCATTCACAAGAGGAATTCACACTGAAAGCAATGCACCATGTCTGTTCCTCTTGTGGTAATATTGTTCACTGGATCAGTTCTGAGCCTGCTTTTATATTCTGTAGACAAACCAAGATTACATAAGGGTCTGTAATGTAATATTTACTTTATAATAACATGGAGCTCCTTGAGAATGAAGTATCAGAATAATGTAATTTCTTTCATGATAAACTGACATTAATTTCAGCTTGTGTCTCAGTAAATAAACCATAGAATAAAGACTTCTGAGTCTTTTCCTCTAACACATCAATTGCAGGCACTGCCTCCGTCCACTGGCTGGCAGTTCCAATTACATCAGTGTGTGCAGAAACAGCACATTTTCTGTTCTCTGCCTATTCCACAGCAGCATCCAACACTGATAAACACCACAGTGGACCACTCTGGAAAAATACAATACAGCTCACAACAGATGGCAAAAAGGGTGTCAGACTAGATTTAATGCAACAACTTCATTAAATTATCCAAATATCTAATTGATACCAAACAACTTCGTAGATGGTTTAAACTATATTTTTTTAAAAACTCTGATTTTCATGATGACTGATAATCCATGGAGCCAAAGCTGTTATTAGCAAAAGTGAGCTCTAAATGGCAAGGCCCAGAAAGAAGATGCCAATTTTCATGTGTGGTGGTGTAAGATTTGAGTCTTATAGACTCTAGTTACTTTATCAGCTTTAGTTACTTCTCATACCTTTAGTTCCCTTTAGTTACCTTTCATAACTTTATCTTACTTGTTTATGCATATTACAGCTGTATTGATGATTGTCCAGAACTACTGAGCTTTGGTTATTTTAATGCATTTGTTTCCCTTGCTTATATATCTTACAGCTGTAATGAAGCAGAATCTGCTTACTTTGAATGCTGTAAGTTCTGTGTAGAGAC